GGGGTGGAGTGGGGTGGGGTGGGGTCCAATAAGGCAAAGTTGTTGATTTTCAGCCTTTGAAAGACTCTTTCTCCTGAATGATTGACTACACAAATTGTTACCATAGAATTTATTCTTAAATAAGAATGTAAATGTACCTGGGGCGAGGTAATCATATTGTGTTGAAATGGATTTTGTACAACCCCTTTGGCCAAGAGAGCAGGGAAATAACATTTTGACAAGTGACAAGATGTTTTGACTGGCTTAAGCTTGTGACTGACCCATTAAGTTTATTGGTGATATTATGTGACCATTATGAAAACACAACTGGACCTTACATGATTGTTAATATCTCAGTCTGTAGGTCATCTATGTGTGACACATGGCACTAACAGGTTATGTAAGTGCTCCTGGGTGACCAGAATCTGTTTCTGGGTGAAAGCTATTAGGACGACTATTGTTATATCTTCAATATCTTCAATTCTATTAACCCCAAAGCGGAATTACATTTCAAAATGTAACAGGAAGGTAATACTTTTTCGATTTGGTAAAATCAAACCCAAATATGTGATACCACAACGGTGCACGCTGGAAAACAACCCCAACATACCACCTTTCATCATGTAGGTATAGCCGCCATCTTGGCATTTTACCGCGAAGACTCTATGTCAGAAAACAGACTAAGGAAGTACCTTAATAGGGCCACATTGCCACCAAAAGGCCATAGGAAATACGGGCACCGATGGCTCATCAAAACCTGCCTGCTAAGCTCACCGACACAGAAAAGTGTCCCTTTATGTGTGGCTGAGAACGTGTAACCTGACGTCAGTCAATAAAGGTTATATCTCGCTGACAACAGACTCGGACGAAACGGTGAACAAAATCATCAACACCATCACCAACCCTATCGGAAAGGCATGAGAACCTGAAGATCACAATACTAGAGATACCAAACTACTCCATAGTGAAATGGAACACCTACAAAGGGCATAGTGACCCATCCTCATTTAAAGATCAGGATGACAAACTCCAAGATCAGATACACGCCCTTAACAAACACATCAGAGGTGTGAACAGCAAGTCGAACAGCCACTCGCCCATCTTTTCCACTGATCTCAGCGCAAACTCAAAATACAAGCCGGGGAATAAAAACACCACCAAAACAAGGCACTACTATAAATTCAGTCTATATAAGGACAGAATCCACCCCGAGAACACCCTCGCAAAAGTGTGGCTAAAGAAAATTACAGAACAGATCAAAAAGGACTGTTGGGAGGCCTAACTTGTCAGCATGGGACTATCCAAGCTACACAGGTATATGGCATACTAACACATGATCTGGTAGTCAGTGTGGGCATATCCACGCTACACTACATCTAACAACATGTTTACTCTGGCAATACTCATAGTTTTACTACCTGTGTTAAGTGACTCTGTAACCAACAACAAATCATGGTCACAACAACAATTAAACCATGTAGCACTAAACAACTGTAGCGGGGTGGTTTTACAAATAACCAAGAGTTCTTTGTGATTTATTTTTATTCCATTCCACAGCACAGATATAACATGGTTCAATATCCTAGTGTATAGGTAGATACATATACATTACACTCTGTAAACAAACACAAAAGACTACATTTAGCACAACGAATCACAAGTACAATACATATACTAAAGGGACATAACTCTTACAAACTAATTACTGTACTGCCTACTAATTCATACCGTTACAATTACACAGCATACATGGCAATTACTTTACAATAATTTTACAATTATTGTTTCTCAATTATATATCATTACAAATAGTTACATAGTAATCTAATGACCAATTAATCCAAAAGAAATAAGAAAGAAAATGATAAACCTAACTTTAACAACTAAAGTTAGAATATAACTTTCATGGAAATATAAATTACTTAAAATGTACATATCACGCACCTGTGTATGGCACAGAGCCAGGAATTAGGAAACC